CAATATATATATTAAGACCAAACTTGTACAATAAAGAAAGAAGGACATTTTGTAGTGATGAAAGAATGAATCCATCAAAAATATATAACAATTACAAACATATGTGCATATGAGAAAGCCACAAAATACATTAAGGGAAAACTGACAGAATTGAGGGGAGAAATAGGCCATTTACCAGTAATAGTTGGAGATTAAAGCAACTGAAACTCTATACATTGCTGGTAGAAGTACAAATTGGAATGACCCATTTGATAAACATTTTGTAAATTAAGGTTAAGCAGGTGCTTGTCATATAGCTCAGCAATCCCACTTCTGTATTTATCTAAGAGAAATTAAGACATTTATCCATGCAGTGATTTGTCTACAAATGTTTATAGTAGTTAGTAGTCCCAGATTGGAAAGTAAAATATCCAGCTGGTAGTGAATTAAACAAATTATGGTATCCAAAGAACGGTACACTGTAAAGCAGTGGAAAGGAATAAAATAATAATATATTCAACATTATGAAAGACTCTCAAGAGATTTATTCTAAATGAATTAATTCAGATAGAAGAGAGTATGTATGATTGTACTGATTTGATATTCAGAAAGTTTTGGGTTAGAAAGTAGACAGCTGGTTGCTAGGAACGAAAGGGTAGGGGAAGGGGAAAGAGAGTTATTGCAAAAAAAAAAATGAGAAAACTTTGTGGGTGGTAGAAATGCTTTATATCATGATTGTGGTTTCATTTACATTGGTAAGCCCAATTGTGAAAACTCATCAAATTATAGGTTTAAAACGTCAAGTATTTATTGCATGTAAATTATACCTCAATAAAGCTGACCCAAGAATAAAAAAAAAATTATAAAGACAGAAAATGAACATTTTGAAACCAAAGCGTGGTGTTGGGGTAGAAAATATTTGAAGTAATGAGGTTTTTTTTTTTTTTTTGAGTAAGAAAAAATAGAAATAAACTATTTGACATTTGTGACAGTGAGAAAATGAAACATGGGAATATAGTAAAAAAATTACTCAGAATGAAGTTTTAACATTAAGTTATTTTATCAGTTGAAGTAGAAATGATCTAAACAACTCAAGGATTAGAACAATTTTCATATCTCCTTCCTGGAAAATGGTATGGATTTATTTGTTTTTATTTAACAAATACACATATGGCACTTATAATGTACTATATCTTTATAAAGATAAAAACAAGTTAAATATAAGTTGATAAGATCTAATTCTTTTTGAGTATATTGGTAACAAAAGAGCCTATGAAAAGGCTAGCCAAAAAAATGGAGTAAATAAATATCCCACATTATGGCTGAGAAAAAATATAATCATGATAACAAGGAGACTAAAAGTGAGGAAATGTAGTATACAACATGACACTAATAAATTTAAAATATTAATAAAGTGAGTCATTTTCTTAAAAAGTAAATAGAATTTAATTATAATATTCAGTCTTATCTCTCATTATTCCCATATTTTAATCTTTTGCTCCAGCCAAAGGGATCTGTACACAGTTCCCTCAGTATAACTTGTGTTTCCCTCTGTGTGTTCATTATTGCTCACTTCTCTCTCCTGTTAATGTCATTTTCTTTTTGTGTATTCAGATGCTACCTATCTTTCAAGCAGGTACACTTTCTATTTCCTTGAGGAAACTCCCCATAGCATCTTAGGTGGTAATGAGCACTTGTGACAGTTCACATCTGTTACCTACTCAGCTTTGCAGAATTATATGCCTTTTAATGCTTTATCTTCCTCTTCCTTGTGTAGAATAAATATCTTGAATAGCTCCACTATGTATATACCTCACCCCTGCCCTATATAACTGTTGTTATCCCCCATATTCTAGTTTAGTTTATACAGAGTATGAACTCTGGAAATAAGTGTTTAATTGATTATTAAAAGTGAATCAAGATAAGATTCAAGTTAGGAAAAAGTGCTTAACTACCATTTCAGAGGATATCTTTGGATAGTATTATAATTTTCTAGTTAAGTGTGTACAAATGGGAGAATGTGTTCAGTCTTTTCCACTTGAAGCGTCAGAAGAAGAAATGTTTTGATATAATAAACAACTTCTTAAACCTTAATTTCTTTTTTGTAAGATGAGAAAAGAAATTTTTTAAGACTGCACAAGACAGTGAGTGTATAGCTTCTGGCATGTGTGCTTGGAATGCATTAAACCCTACATAATTCTAATTTTTCTCACCTTCATATGGGGTCACAATGACAAGTACAGTGTGGATATTTCCCCATTTTGATATGCCTTAATATTTTGGCTGAGAGCAATGAGCACATTGAAAGCTTCCCTGGCTCAGGCGGTAAAGAATCTACTGGCAATGCAGGAGACTTGAGTTCGATCCCTGGATTGGGAAGATCCCCTGGAGAGGGGAATGGCAACCCACTCCAGTATTCTTGCCTGGCAAATCCTGTGTGCAGAGGAGCCTGGCGGGCTATAGTACGTAAGATTGCAAAGAGTTGGACGTGACTGAGTGATTAACAACTTTCACTTTCAATGTGCACATGGAAGTTGAAACATACATAATTTAATGTTTAATTCTAATTTAGCTATTTCTTCATTCCCAAGCATAACCTATGCTAGATTGATTTTTTCTCTCATTAGGCCTGTTGTAAATTGCATCTTTCAGGTTTTTATGAATCAGTTTTTTTTTTTCACCAGTCATTGCTCTCTGGATTGGTGTACATTGTGATTAGTTCTTTCACAGGTCACTAATTAGAGACTAGAACCCTTTGGATGAATGGTCAAAATTTAAATTTTGACCTCTGAAAAGAGAAACTGAAAAATCATTGTTAATATATTGTAGAAGTGACATTTGCTGATTGTTGACCTATTGATGGCTCTCAAGTGCTGGAACACACAAGCTGGAGCTTAGCTGAACAATGACAGAGAAATGTTATTAGATTTTTGCAGACTTTTGGCATTTGACTAAATGCCAATATTAAATGTTTATGCTGACTAGTATAAACAACAAAAGCAAAATAGAACAAATCTTTGAGTATCTGGTTATCATTTCCACTTTTAAAATTACTTCTAGACTTCAATGACTATTCTTTACACAGAAGAACTGTACAAAAAAGAACTTAATGACCCATATAACCATGATGGTGTGGTCACTCACCTAGAGCCAGACATCCTGGAGTGTGAAGTCAAGTGGGTCTCAGGAAGCAATACTATGAACAAAGCTAGTGGAGGTGATAGAATTCCAGTTGAGTTATTTAAAATCCTAAAAGATGGTACTGTGAAAGTGCTGCACTCAATGTGTCAGCAAACTTGGAAAACACAGCAGTGGCCGCAGAACTGGAAAAAGTCAGTTTTCATTCCAATCCCAAAGAAGGGCAATGCCAAAGAATGTTCAAACTACCACACAATTGCACTTATTTCACATACTAGTAAAGTAATGCTCAGAATCCTTCTGGCTAGGCTTCAGCAGTATGTGAATCAAAAAATTCCGGATGTACAGTCTGGGTTTAGAAAAGGCAGAGGAACCAGACATCAAATTGCCAACATCTATTGGATCATAGAAAAAGCAAGGAAACTCAAAAAACACATCTACTTCTGCTTCATTGACCCTCTAAAGCCTATGACTGTGTGGATCACAACAAACTGGAAAATTCTGAAAGAGATGGGAATACCTGTCTTACCTGTCTCCTGAGAAACTTGTATGCAAGTCAAGAAGCAACAGTTAGAACAGGACCTGGAACAACAAACAGATTCACAATTGGGAAAGGAGTACATCAAGGCTGCATATTGTCACCCTGCTTATTTAACTTTATACAGATACATCATGAAAAATGCCGGACTGGGTGAATCACAAGCTAGAATCAAGATTTCCAGGAGAAATATCTACAACCTCAGATACTCAGGTGATACTACCATAAGGGCAGAAAGCAAAGAGGAGCTAAAGAGCTTCTTGATGAAGATGAAAGAGGAGAGTGAAAAAGCTGTCTTAAAACTCAGCATTCAAAAAACAAAGATCATGGCATCTAGTCCCATCACTTCATGGCAAATAGATAGGGAAACAATGGAAAGAGTGGCAGATTTTATTTTCTTGCGCTCCAAAATCATGATGAACAGTGACTGCAGCCTCAGAATGAAGACACTTGCTCCTTGGTAGAAAAACTGTATCAAACCTAGGTGGCGTATTAAAAATCAGAGACATCACTGTGCCAACAAAGGTCTATATAGTCAAAGCTATGGTTTTTCCAGTAGTCATGTATATATGTGAAAGTTGGACCATAAAGAAGGCTGAGCACAGAAGAATTGATGCTTTCGAATTGTGGTGTTAGAGAATACTCATGAGAGTCCCCTGACTTCAAGGAAATCAAACCAGTCAATCTTGAAGGAAATCAACCCTAAATATTCATTGGAAGGACTAATGCTGAAGCTCCAATGCTTTGGCCACCTCATGCAAACAGCCAACTCTTTGGAAAAGACCTTCATGCTGGGAAAGATGGAGGGCGGAAGGAGAAGGGGGCAACAGAGGGTGAGACAGTTGGATGGCATCACAAAGTCAATGGACATGTGATTTTGCAAAATCTGGGAGATGGTGAAGGACAGGGAAGTCTTGGGTGCTGCAGTCCATGGGGTCACAAAGAGTTGGACATGACTTAGCAACTGAACAACAACAACAGTAATTTTGCATTGAATACCTCTTGAGGTACATTGATATTCAGCCATCTCAACCACCTATAGAAACTTAAAATGGTTTCAAATCTAATTATGATTTTGATATTTTTGAAAAATAAGCACCATTCTGTATCAAGTCCCTAACTCAGAAATGTTTTTATGATTTTCTGTCCTGAGAGGAAATATGTATTTTTCAGTCTTTTTGGATCGCATTTATAGTATTGTAAAGAAGCAGTGTCAGAAATGGAATTGTTAAAAATGAGCATAGTAATATTCTTAATACTGGGGGGGAAAAACATAGCCAAAATTTTATTTTGGTATAAAAATTAGCAACAAAATAGCTAATAATGATAAAACTTTTCTCTCCAGGGCCAAGGAATATGAGAGTTTATTGGAAGCAAAAAATTCTGGTTCAGACTCACCCTATAAAGCAAAGTGAGTATTTTAGCCTACATTTTATTGATTTGTCTCTTTAGTCTCTGCCTATAACAAAAGTTTATCTGAGCCATTATTGTTCACTTGTGGTCATAGACTTTTGTATCCAGTGCCTAGGATTTTATTCTTCTAACACCATATATCCAACTGGGGATGATTTTGGCAGAGGTCATTTGTCTGTATCTGGGGATATGTGATAATATTTTGGTTATCACAGATTGGAAAAACTGGTGCAGCTGCCATCAAATGAGTAGAGGCCAGGGATGCCTTTACACTTTTTTCAGTGTGTGAGATAGTCCTCCACAGCAAAGGAGTATCTCATTCAAACCATCAGTAGTGCTGAGGTAGAGAAACCCTATTTGAACAAAGCAAGTTCTGCCAAGGCTGTACTGATTCTTACTCTGAGGAGATCTTATTCAGGATTGTTGCAAGGGCCACTTGACAGGTAAGAATTTAGACTCCACCATTGGGTGTAAGTGTAATTAATAGGTGTACTAGCTAAGGAAACAAAAACATCATCATTTTGTTTATCTCAAACAGACTGCCAATAGCGATGCAGCAAGAGAAGGGTACTCATATAATACTGCTGTTGGGAGTGCAGATTGGTATAGTCTTACCGAAAGGCCATGTGAATCTGGAGCTGAGGATGTCCACTTTGGTTTTCTTTTACTTTTGAGATCTTTTATTCATTATATATACACAATTAAGTTCCAGTACTTAAAGTTTTATTTTTTAATTATAGTTGATTTACAATGTTATATTAGTTTCTGATGTACAGAGAAGTAATCCAGTTATACATACATTGTTTTCAGATTATTTTCCATTGTAGTTTATTAAAAGATACTGAATATAGTTCCCTGTGCTGTACAGTGGGACACTGTTGTTTATTTTATATAGTTTGCTGGTCCCAAACTCATCTAATTTATCCCCCCGCTACTTTGGACATCCACTTTAGAATTCAACTGCCCAGTGAAATAATGAAAAATGTGTGCAAATATTTATGTACAAAGATAACTATTTTTATGTTACTTTCAATAGTGAAAAACTCAAGAAACAACTTACATGCCACAGATGGAGGAATATCTACAAGCACTTGTTGGTATAGATTATGCAATAGCATTTTAATGTAGCTGTTGTTTACATTTGTAATAGAACTATTCTTCCCTGTCAGAAATAAGACACCCATCAGGTAATACTTTATTACTGTTTTGGAGCTATTAGCCATTGTTATTTTAAAAGAAAAACAGAAGTATAAAGTATTAAAGACATTAATGAAATTGTTGAGATTATGATCATACTGTATATCTGGAAAACCCAAGAGAATCAAGTGAAGAACTAGTCAAAATAAGAGAGTCAATTCAGTAAGATGGCTGATTTCCAAATTTATGTGACACTGTTAATAATAGGTGATGTTTACTGAACCTTTACCTTATGCCAGGCTCTTTACATGTGTTGACTCGTTTATAACTCACATCAACACAATGAAATTTCATGAGGAAACTAAGCCCTAAATAGAGTAAGTAACTTGCCTAAGGTTATGCAGCAGCACATCTAGGATACAAAAGTAGTAGCTTTTCTTTTTGATAATCAGAAAATATAAATATCATTTATAATAGCAATAGAAAAATAAACTTTTAAGAATAAACAAGAAATATGAATGCTCTACAAAAATAAAAGTGTAAAATGCTAACAAGGGATATAAAAAAATGACTCATAAAAGTTAAAAGGCAAATTGTACTCTTGGATAGAAGACAACGTATAGTAAATTCTCTTTAAATTCTCCTACAAATATGTGATTTCAATAAAATAACAACCTTCTTAAAGCTGGAGATAGAAGCATTTTAAGGAACATATAGAAAAATTAAGTTTCCATGAAAAGAAATTTTAAAGAGGGAAAATAAAGTAGGATTCAGCTAACAGGTGGTTAAAATAGTTTTGCATTGGCATGTGAATAGTAATACACATTAATGGACTTGGTTTTTAAAACAATCTAGAAATGGATCCAAAATTTGAGGAAATTTAATATATGACATAGTATAGTGTTGGCAGAGATGGCCAGAAGTTGCTGAGCCATTCCTGAAGACATGGCCCTTTGCAATATAACTTGCCACCTCTCCATCAAGGGGTGGACTCTTATTAACCTTACTCTTGAATTTCGCCTTTTGACTTGTTCTGATCCCCAATCTACTGCAGAAGCAGTATGTGACTTCTGAGCCTTAGCTTCAGAAGTCTTGAAGCTTTTGCTCATAACTTTGCTTTCTTGTTCCCCTCTGACTGCCATGTAAGGAAGCTTGGGTCAGCCTCCTTGATGATTACGGATCACTTGGTCATGGTGAATAATCCTTTTAATATGCTGCTGAATTTGTTTGGCTTGTTCTGTTGAGGGTTTTTGCATCAGTTTTTTTGCATAGTGTTCATCAGCGATAGGGGATATCAGGCCAGATCAGGCCTTTGCTTGTGTCACATTTGCTGATGTCTCATTGGCCAAGGCAAGTCATTTTGTCAAGTCCTTAGTCACTGTATGAGGAGACTATTAAGTCATGGCTAGCAAGATATACTTCAAGGGGGGACCTTTAATGTAATAGTCTATTCTGCAGCTTTCTCTGGATTCTCCTCTTGACTAACTGCTCTTCTTCATTACCTGCTGCCTCATTGTTTCTTGTCTCTTTGAGCTCTGACATTAGCATGCCTTTGTCCTGAGAGTTCTGGTAGAGAATTACTCTCTTGGTAATCTCATTTATTTTCATGACTTTAAACAGCTAGTATCCGGAGGGACTTTAAATTCATGTCTCCAATCCAGACCTGTCCCCAGAACTCCAGAATACAATATCCAGCTTTCATGTTAGCATTTTCACTTGGATGTCTCTCTGTTCACTTGAATGCCTCAGGTGAATATGTGTCAAGGTAAACTCCTGAATTTTGTTTCCAAAACTTACCCCTCCTATTTTTGTTTATCTTAAGAAATGGCAGGTCCATCCTTACATGAAGTCATCTAAAACTTTAGAGTCATCCTTTTTCTTAAAAAGCTTAATTATTGTAACTGATTGAAATAGGTAACCAAAAAGGAGATGAAAAGACATGTCTCCTTATAAAATTATTCTGTTTAATAAATGAAAATGACTTTCTCCAGTTTCCCCTCCCTCTTCCAGAAAAATCCAGCCCTATAGCCGTTAGATGAGAGCACCACCAAGCAGCCATCTGCATTGGCTGGATGACTGGATGCAGTGGGGGCAGAATGGTGGCTGTCAGAGCCTGAGTGGACTAAGGATGGGTGGCCGGGTGTGAAGGTTCAAAGCCGAGCAGAGTGCGGGAGCTTCCATGTGGGGTAGGACACCGTGGCCTGGTGTGGGGAATCAGAGCCAAGTGACGACAGCATATCCATGGAATGCCATCCTTGCCCAGTCTGTCAGGGGAGCCTGTAAAGGCTGTGAAACCCACGCATGGGTGAGGAGAGCAGAGGAGGCCAGTGTGGGGAGTCAGAGGCAAGCAGGTGGGTAATAGTGTACACCAACAAAGATGGGTGATATGTCTGGGGGCTTGTTCACATAAGTAAATATATTAAGGACGTTGGAAGACAGATTGCTCACTGTTAGAGAAGAGAGTTAAAAAATACACTCAAGGAGAATAGAAAATCCTTCAGTGATGAATTGACATTGTAGATATCAGTTTTAACTTGTATTTTCCAACATATATGTAGAAATAAATATAGATGTAAAGTGTGGGGATACACACACACACATGCCCTTGGAGCAATGCATAGTGGGGTTTAGAGGTACTGACCCTCTAAGCAGTCAAAAATCTGCCTGTAACTTTTACAGTCAACCCTTCCCCTCTGAGGTTTTACATTCACAAATTCAACCAACCATGAATCCTGTGGTACACAATAGTATAAAAAAATCTGTATAAATGGGCCTGTACAGTTCAAAGCCCTGTTGCTCAAGCATCATCTTTTTGTATATATAATTATATATATTTTATATTTATTTAGATAAAATAATGTATACACATTTTCTAGATCTTTCCACCAAGGATGAGGGTCTTGGGAACAGCAGCACCTTGATAGCCTTGAGCACATCTAGTATTAAGTGTAAGGATGACATAGTTCCCTGAAAGGGTAGATGGGTTCTTTATCCACAAGAAAGGATGCTGGAGGCAACAATGAAAGATGTTCCATATGGGAAGCAATATATGCACACTGGCTTTTTTCGTTTTATAAGAGGATTTCTTAAACTCTTACATTTAGAAATACAGGCTTAGGCATATTAATTTAAAAATGGAAGGGAAACCTGTAGCCTTAAATTTAGACTGTGTACCACTCAAATAGAGAAGGTTTATAAGAAAAAATGGAAGTTAATATATTTATGTCTTCCTGCCCATCACACTTAAAGAGCAATGTTATTTCCTAACATGGACCCAGTTTCCCTTCTTACACTTATAAATCTTCCCAATGATCCTAATGAACCTCCCAAAACTTTACTGTGATAAAAGTTAGGGCTCCTTATAGAGGAGCCCTTATGTTTCACATTTACCAGTAACAGATTTGAACTGAGAATTGTTAAAATGTGTTCAAATTTTGAGAAGAAAATATCTGACCTTAAAAAATTCTCCACAAAGCCATTTACCTGTCAGATACTTCTCATGTTCTGGGCTAGGAATTATGAAGCCTTTAGTTTTTCTTTTCATGCTAGAAAAATTATCTACCAGAATTTACACAAATAGCAATTTCTGTATTAAAAAAACTGCACCCTCTAAACAGCTCCTGTTCTTGCCCTGTAAGGAAACTATAACTTTCAGGAATTGAGTCCTGTGACATTCAATCATTATTTGTAGTATGAATCAAAATCTAATGCTTTTTTTCTTGAGAGGAGCTATGTTATTTGTGGTACTTCTGTGGAGGCCAGGAATGAAGCAGAGGTTTAGCTCATGTTACCACAGCATCCCCTTCATTTGGCATTCTTCCTTGAAGGGTAGGTTCATATGAGTCCCAGATTTGATTTACCTCAGGGTGAAATATAAGCCTCTTGTATTCTGTGAATTAAAATGGTCCTTGTGCCTCCCTAAACACCCCTGGTTTTCAGTGGAATGTGAGCATTCTTGGTAAGAGTACTGCTAGATTCATATGCATCTGTTGCTGTGGCTGGATATTTAGTTACATGGTGTGCAGGCTTTATCCAGCCAAGAGCTGAAGTGGCTACTTATCTGTCACACAATGGACTTTGCTGCCAATATTCGTCCACATGATAAGGTCAGTTACTTTAATCGGATGGGACTCTAGCCCACATTCGATTAGGAGGAAAAGGACTATGTTGCTTTTAGTCTATTTTTGTATTTTTTATATTCTCGAAATGTTAGATTGAGACATTCTTTCAGTAAGTAGTAATAATGGTTGATAATTTATTGATTATTTATTCAATGTCTACTTTAGTGAATGGCATTAGGTACATTACATTAATTATCTCTAATCTTCAGAAGCTCTAAAGAAAAAAATATATGTATATATAATCTCCACTTTTAAGTTGAAGAAATTGAGATTGAGTATTTAAATAACCTCCCCACGGCTTACATAAAGCCAGAATTTAAGCATAAGTATTTCTGATTTTAGAGTTTGTATTCATTCTGTGACTTATCAAAGTAAACTCCATATGGATAGCTTAGATTTAAACTGGAGTTCACAAGCGCCTTTTTGAACTGCAGCTGCTATTGTATTCTTTGAGGAATTAAAGATTTTTACATAAATGCATTTTTAGATGAAATTGTGTTCTAGGATATTATTCATTTGTGAATAAAATTTTCTTATTGAATTGACTGATACGGTGTGGAGACAAAGCATGAAATCTGAAGATGAAAGGCTTGGATTCCTAGTTCCAATAGTGCATTTACTAGCCGTGAAGCCTTGGGAAAGTCACCTCATCTTCTTAAGCCCTAGCATTCAAACAGGGATGGATAATGTTTTTCAGAGGACAAATAAGATCATGTACATGAAAGTATTTTGTAACATAGAGGTTATGGATATTATTAAGAATAGTATAAAGAAGAAATTTCTTCTTAGACCGTACATCTGTACTTCTAGAATGTGCTTATGTAATGGTGCTATGGATAAGATGGTGAATGGTTCGATAACCCTCTCTCATAAGGTTAATATTGTGTTTCTGCACTGTTCAGTATGACAGCTTCTAGCCAAATATGGCTGTTGAAATTATTAAGATTAAATTAGTTCTTCATACCGAAGCCTCTTCGCTCTAAGGCCTGTGAACCACAACTGCTGAGCCTGTGTGCTGCATCTGTTGAAGTCCTAGAGACCCTGCTTAGAAACAAGAGAGGCCGCCACAAGGAGAAGCGTTGGTACCACAACTAGAGAGTAGCCCCCATTTGCTGCCACTAGGGGAAGCCTACACACAGCAACGAAGACCCTATACAACCAAAAATAAATGAAATCAAATGGTTAATTTTTTTTTAAAGTTCTGCAGTCATACTAACTGTCTTTCAAGTGCACAATAGGTACATTTGGCCAGCAGCCACCAGGTTGTACATAATAGTTATGGAACATTTCCATCATTACCAAAAATCCTGTTGTCAATCTCTGCGTGAGAGAGACTTGTGATAGTGACTTGACGGAATAGATCAGAGAAAGCAGTGTTTGAGCTAGGAACTTAGGGAAGAGTAGGATTTTTCTGGAGGTGGGGGAAGTAGTTCAGAAGGAATGAATAAAAGAGCATTTGCAAAGATACTGAAAGCAGGGAAAGCAGGATTTAGATCCAGAAAGACCTCATGCATATAGACCCAGTGTGGTAAGATTAGCCCTACATGGGAGGAATCAATCTTCTTTGATTGTAATAGGAGAAATAAAGCAGAGTATGGGTGAAATGCTCACATGCTTATAGATTTTTGGCAGAAAGTGAGGATTTCCTTGTTCCAGTAGCTTCCATTTTCTCTATGAAATGTAAAATCTTCTTATATGAAAGCAAGGGGGAGAAGGAAGAGTGGAATTATAGGAGATGGAGCAATATATGAAGAAGTCTTCGTGGAAGAGTGCGAGGGTGAGCAGACTTGGACAAACTTACTAGTAAGATTCTGAAGCCATAGTCATGCCAACCTTTTGTATGGTATGAGTTTTTCTCAGTATCAGAAATGGAAACAGCTGGCAGATGTTCACTAATCCAGCTAAATTAATGTTGGCAAGGCACCGAGAGGGATGCCTGGCCCACTAAACAAGAGTTGATGATTGTTACCATAACTGGGGGTTAGCTGTAGGAGTAACAGAACAACAGAGGGGGAAGTGACTGTATAAAGTGATTATACACGTTTACAAGGAAGTGATTATAATGGAGGCCAAGGGAATCAGTCATAGATAAAAATGGAAGTAGAGTCACAGGTAAGTGGCATATGGGGGAAAGTGGAGAGAGACAGGGTGGTGTCTGGTGAGCATCTCAGGTAGGATGCTCAGGTGAATAACAGGATAGGAGGAGAAGATTGCTGAAAGAATGAGGTGTGTGAACCAGAAGTAAGGGCTTTGAAGAAACGTTACTGCAGTCCACTCACTAAAGAGTCCTAGGAAATACGTGTTATTTTTGTGTGTGCTAAGTCACTTCAGTCGTGTCTAACTCTTTGCGACCCCATGGACTGTAGCCCACCAGGCTTCTCTGTCCATGGGATTTTCCAGGCAAAAATACTGGAATGGATTGCCGTGTCCTCCTCCAGGGGATCTTCCCAACCCAGGATCGAATCCGCATCTCTTATGTCTCCTGCACTGGCAGGTGGGGTCTTTACCACTAGAGCCACCTGGGTTCCCCAGGTGTGTTATGTGTTATCCTTGGTGAAAAGCAAATAAAAGCAAATGCTTTGTTGTCTAAATGATATCAGCAGTGACAGGAAATCCCCAAATTGCTTATAAACTGGACCATGGGAAATTTGACATTCTGAGAATTTACAATGCTTATAATTACCTTAAAGATTTACATCAAAATATGAAAACCTGCTCAGGCTTCTCTCCTCATTTTCTCTGCCATCATACTCTGACCTTCCCCATCATCAGGTCTGTTCTAGTGTAAGAGTAACGCAGAAGCTGGTGGCAGCAGCTGCTCCCACTGGCCCTGTGGATGGATAGTACTGTCCTCTGGATCTGTTTCATGACAAAGACTAGATTGGTGTTTGTGAATATAGAGTAATACTGGCCTCAGGAGTGATTTGTTTTTCTTTTCCTTAGGTACTCTATGAAGCAGTTTCCAATATAATAATGAAAGTAACTTTTGTTTAAAAGTGTTATGGAAAATGAAATATTGTAGTCTAATTCATTCATGTCATTCTTCTCTTTTATTTTGTATCCAAGGCTTCAGCGGTTAGCCAAAGATCTTCTAAAACAACTACAAGTACAAGACAGCGGCTCATGGGCAAGCAATAAGGTTTCTGCTTTAGATCGGACCCTTGGTGAGGTCGCTAGAATATTGGAAAAAGAGGTATGAAACTCATCTCTGGCCTCTGGCCATAATCTTTATGTTTCTTTCTTACTGACTTCCCTGGCGGCTCAGATGGTAAAGCGTCTGCCTACAGTGTGGGAGACCCGGGTTCAATCCCTGGGTCAGGAAGATCTCCTGGAGAAGGAAATGGCAACCCACTCCAGTATTCTTGCCTGGAAAATCTCATGGACAGAGGAGCCTGGTAGGCTACAGTCCATGGGGTCGCAGAGTCAGACCTGACTGAGCGACTTCACTTTCACTTTTCTTTCTTACTATGACGGGCCATGGGACTACAAGGCAAACTCTTAAGTATATGTGTTTCTTTGGTGTTTCCAAAAGCCAGTCAACCATTGGTGGATATTTTTTCTTTTTGTTCTTAATGATATTGAAATTGTTTTTAGTTGTCTTAACTGAAGTCCTCTATGGCAAAAATACTTTCTTTACGTTGTGGTTTTCTCAGTCATATTTTTCCTAACATGACATTCTATTTTAAATAGATTCCGAGTAATAAAGATATAGAGTTTTATGGCAGAAAATATAAGACCTTGAATTATAAAGCTCATAAATCACAAATTTTCACAAAACACCAGTTTCCTTCCTGTTTCCAATAGAAGATTTGATAGCTTTCTTTAATGACTTACAGGCATTAAATGTTTCAATGACAGTTTAAAAAATCCTTAATGGTTTTAAAAGTATTTATTATTCAGTATAGAAAATTTTAAAGGAACAAAGAAGAAATAAAACTCCCTGTAATATCCACTATTGACATTTTATTGTGTTTTTTCTAATATTTTACTGTACATTTTTACAGTATTTTATATTGCTAATTTTATCATAAATATTTTATCATATCTTATAAATTCCTTTTAACTGAATGAACATATCACAATTTATACAATTATATCACTTGGCTTTCTAATTTTTTTGTTTAAGGTAATGTTGATCTTTATTAGCTGAAATTTTTGTTTTCTAGGTTTAAACTGTATTGTGTAATATTTTATATATATGAAAGAATGTAGGAATAAAAATTACATAAATGCAATGGGTTATGATCTCATGACCAACCCAAGAACTAAGTTGATCCCAGTATATTTATTATTTATAGTTCCCACTGGATTCCTTCCTCACCCTATCCCCCTGCCTCTGCTCCCTTTCAGGAAATACTGTATAGAATTAAAGGGGTATCCTTTCTTTGTTTTATAAAAATAGTGTTATTGATTTATCACATAGATGTATATTTAATTAATATATTATTTTGTTTTGCTTGTATTTGACCTTTATAAAATATTACACTGAAGACTTCTTGATTTTTTTCAATCAAAATTATGGCTCTTAAGTTTTATTTAAGCTTATAAATGTAGCTATTTTTCATTAATTTTCTCTATCATATAGTGAGTACTACATTGTGTTAGTACTACAATTTTTTATATCATTCTCCTGACAATAGATGTTCATTTTCAGGATTGGATGTGTGTGTGTGTGTGTGTGTGTGTGTAGACAGGGATGATTGGAGAGAGGGAGAGAGGTAAGGGGCAGTGCTGCTCAAACAATTTCTATATTAGAACAATTCAAGAAGAATTTCTCTAAAGCAGGGAAGGAGCCTCAGACTTTAGTCTGCATCAGAATCACCTAGAGGACTTGTTAAAACACCTCGGATTTCTGATTCAGTAGATCTGGAGTGGGTCCCAAGAATTTGTATTTCCAGTAAGTTCCCAAGTGACACTGATGCTGCTGGTCCAAGGACTATACTGTGAGAGCTTGCTCTATGCTAGGCAATATGCCTCAGGGGCAGAATTACTGGGTTTTCAGTCATATGAATAACCAACTTTACAAGACAATGCTCAGCTGCATTTTGGCATCAAACAACATCCTCTTTAGGAACTGAAAGCAGCATACTCATTGTGGCATGACAACAGAGCCAGATGAAGTCAGTTCTTTTGTATAACATGTCCTTTTCAAAGTATGAGAGAGTTCAGAACCTGGTAGTTGTCCAGCATGTACTGGATGGAATGTTTAGAGGTTTTATATGCCTTGGGGAAATCTCTAATTATTTTAAAATTAGCAGATACTGATTGTTTTCTTTTTGTTTTTAAAAAAGGGTACTTAAACTTTGAAATAAAAGTCATTGCTTGAAGATACTACCATATAAACTTGATCTTACGAATATTGTTTTAGATTGAAGTAGTCACAGAATTTTTGAGTAAAAAGTAAAATGATCTGTGTAAGAAAGGTATTCAGTATGAATATCTAAGTAAAGTTATTTCATTCACAAAGGGGCAATTTACCAGAATACCACTGATTCCTTATAATTTGAGGGAGAAAAATGTTGTCTGGCTCCCAGTCTAAATGGTCTGTGTCAGGAACCTTGCTGTAAAACTGTCCTCAGAGTATATACTGCAGGACCACCTAAGAGTCTAAACTTAACCTACAATAAGATCCTTTTGCAACTTTTAGAACTAAAATCCTTTTTACTTTGCCAAGACAGACACACTTTATGTGAAATCCTGTTCATAGAGTTATACTGACATTTCAGTGTAATTCAACTGATGGTATTTATGATTTCAGTCTAGGAATTATAAATAACCATTCCTTTTTGTTTGGAAAACTGCCTGGAGTAACAAAATCATTAGTGCCAAAGCCAAGTACCCAGTGAAGAATTTGAAGACAGCCTAGAAGTGACAGGGGTGGGACTGGTGGAACTTGGGCAAGCACTCACTGAGGAATGGTGAGAGATTAATCTTGAGGTCTTTGTCCTCTTAGTTTAGACCTCAGCGCACTGATGCTTTCTGTTACTGCTTCGGCACAGTTTCCCTCAGATAATTTTTCTGAAGTTCTGAGAACTGTTTTAGGGCTAACAGGTTAAAAGTGTGAAGCACAAAAGTGTTCTGTCTGGTCTGGTTTCCTTGGTGTGTATGCCCAGGAGTGGGATTTCTGGGTTTATATGGTAGTTCTATTTCCGGTTTTTTAAGGACACGTGTACCCCAGTGTTCGTCGCAGCACTGTTTATAATAGCCAGGACATGGAAGCAACCTAGATGCCCATCAGCAGGTGAATGGATAAGGAAGCTGTGGTACATATACACCATGGACTATTACTCAGTCATTAAAAAGAATTCATTTGAATCAGTTCTAATGAGTGAAGTAAGCCAGAAAGATAAAGACCAATACAGTATACTAACGCATATATATGGAATTTAAAAAGATGGTAACGATAACCCTATATGCAAAACAGAAAAAGAGACACAGATGTACAGAACAGACTTTTAGACTCTGTGGGAGAAGGTGAGGGTGGGATGTTCTGAGAGAATAGCATTGAAACAAGTATACTATCAAGGGTGAAACAGATCACCAGCCCAGGCTGGATGCATGAGACAAGTGCTCAGGGCTGGTGCACTGGGAAGACCCAGAGGGATGGGATGGGGAGGGAGGCGGGAGGGGGGATCGGGAAGGGGAACACATGTAAATCCATGGCTGATTCATGTCAGTGTATGGCAAAACCCACTACAATATTGTAAAGTAATTAGCCTCCAACTAATAGAAATAAATGGGAAAAAAAAAAAGAAAGGCCAAGCCAGGTTAAAAGAAGGGAATTGGATTTTATTCCAAGTATGAGAAGACACAATGCAAGATTTTAGGCAAGGGGTTAATCTGATTCATATATATTTTTTCAAGTCTCTTCAGGAGATTGTATAATAGCAAATAGTTGGTAGACACAATGGAAGTTAAGAGGTTTCAAAAAAAAAAAAGTGTTCTGTCACAAGAGATTTGGAGACTAAGGAGATCTGGGTATTTCAGTACTTACTGTGTGACTCACGTTCCTTCTGGCTTAGGTTCTCTGATTCCATTCAGAAATAAAACATTTGAAAGCTTTGTTGTGTGCGTTATGCTTTTTAACAAACTGCGCCACAAACCGCTGCTTAAAGTATAAAATCTAATAGGAGATTTTCTCTTCACAAGGATTAAGGCCACCAAAGCCTACACCCTGACGTAATCATGAACTGTCTCACCTGCCCTCAGAGATTGCAGAGAAAGTGCCTCAGCATAGTACAGAAGGTATAACCATAATCCAGCCCTGAAATAGATTTGCAGTCCAAATTCACATCACCCATACTATTTTAGATGTTGAATTGAGTTTAAAGTAGTCCGAGATTGATTAGTAGCATCCCCTAGGAACCTGGCAGAAAGAAATGCAAATCCTAATTGGAAGAAGACACCTTTATCCTAGGCCTCAAGGCATTTTGTGATGTAATTTTATGAGAAGTGGCCACAGTCAAAACACAACCCCAAAAGTAGATTAAGTCATTATGAATAAGCTCAAGCAGAAAGCAGAACTGCAAGACTTGGTAAATACCAGTCATCATAAAACTGTGTGTTTTATGTGTTAGGAAATAAAAGACAGGATTGAAAATATCTACAGTTATGGACCTAACAATAGTGACACAGGAGGTAATTCAGAATAGCCCTCTCACTGATGACAGTTAATAAAGCTAAACAAACTATAAACTGGTTCCGAAATGCTAATAGAGTAGTAGAGAATTACTGGTCCAAGACCTAGGAACATGGCATTTTGGAGCTGGTTATAGTTGGTGATCCAAAAAAGGTGGATGAGAAGCTGAGTAGTACTTTTAATAATATTGCAGAACTGGTGGAGAAGGAACATTAGCGTCTAGGACTGTCAGTGCTAACACAGTGGCAAAAAGTCTGTGTTTTGGGTTGAGACTTTAAAGGACTGAACTAAGAGAGAGGGTAAACAGAAAGTGTGCCAGTCACTGTGCAGACTGCAGCTAAAGATCAAACCATCTGGGTGGCTGGGAAAATCCTGATCATTGAAAAAAAAAAAAAACAGGAAAGTGATCTGGGATTGCTAATACCTGCAGGTACCTAACAAAAGCAAATAGAAAATCTACTCTGGAGGAAAATATTATAATAATCAATCTAAGCCTCAAATTATTTTAATAATGTGATTTTAAAATATATTTTCTGGCAGAGAAAGATAATTAA